CCCCCCCCCTCAGGTGCACAAATTGCACAAATTGAGTTATGGATTATAAATTATGGAACCTTATGACTTGAATGGGGACTAAGTGAATTCACGTGACAGATTAGTCTGGGCAAAAGGGGATTGAGCTCCTGTCTGTTGTGTGCGTTTGTTGTATTTCTTAATGAGCTTATGAAATAAAGTTTAAATCAGAGTCCTGTGAATTTGAGAGATCAAAATGGACCATGACAGCCCTCCGTGTGGACTGGCTGCCTCTCTGCAGGTGTTTGGAGAGGTACAGTGTGACCTTGTAACTGTAGGGTGGGGTGATGGTGAGTGTCACCCTGATGCTGGTGCCTCAGCTATGGTTTGGAGATGTCATTTCAGAGGGCAATGCTCCCTGCTTACCTCCTTTCTGTTTTGTCACTCTGAAGGCATGCAATAAAACAGTTAGCAAAGCTTTTCATGGTTTTAGTTTTCCACTTTAAAGTCAAGGATTTTATTACCCAAACAAAAGCAATGGAGAATAGTTTGGATAAATTTGTTCCTTTATATTATGCAAATCCCTTCATGTTTGATTTGAGAAATTCCAGGTAGTTATACATCTCGGTGCTTTCTCCTATGGCTTTGGGACTAACTGCACTAACCAATGAGCAAGTAACCAACCACTCAGCAAACATTCATGATGCTTCTTAGTAAGTATTCATGATACAAGTGTTGTGTTACCACTGTAATTTAAATGGTTAATGATATTGCATGGCTATATGATAGTCTTGTTCAATAATAATGCCATCACAAACTACAAGGAACTTTCCAAAATTGCTTCTCCCTTGTTATTGAGCGAAAGTGTTCAGTAAATTGTTAAGTACCATGCTTAAGTTAATTATCTATGATTAGATATATATCTACACACATACATGACTTTCTTACTAGAATGCATTATGAAATCATCCGAGGAAAAACTGTTAGCTTCCTATATGGCATGGTACAGTGTAGCACAACTGAACGTGTTACAGAACACAGCTCTTTCTGAAGGATGTGTTGCTGTTCCTGC